TTTTTTTTTTTTTTTTTCGTTCTTTTGTTTTTTGATTCTTCGTCTTTTTTGTTTTGTTTTCTTCGTTCTTTTTTTTTTTCTGTATGCAATCTGTCCGTGTTACCTATATATGATTCCTCCGGATTTTAATAATAGTTGCAGAATGGGATTGAAGTAGCAGCGAGAGGAATAGGTGTTTTTGTTCTGTATATATCTCTAAGGTTCAGTGCTAACGGACGAATTACGAATAAGTAGTAAAGGGGGAATATAAGAAGACGGAGCACATTGATCATGTCGTGGTTTATGGAGTTCACATGGAACAGCAGGACCACCGTTGACAATGTAACATTGTAACTTACCTGAAGCACACAAAGGCAAATGAGTGCACAGCAGTTCACGAATTTATTGGTGGAGTATATTAAGACCAGGGCCATTGGAGCCGATGAGGAAGATGGTAACAGTGATTTCAGCGTAAGTTTTTATTAGTGAAGACTAGGGGCATTCGGCATACATAAATAGATATGTGAGATTGTTGCAAATGTTAGGTTACGTGAGATGTATATATATGAATGTCGCTGATTATTAGTATTATTAATGTTTAAGGCTATGATGGGGGCATAAATATATGCAGTCTTATCATTTACACGGGCAACGGGAATTTAAAGAGCGCGCAGGCAATTCTGCGGCATATGTGCATATATGTGCATTTCTATTACTGCAGCATAAAATTTGGGGGGACATAAAAAGCTTGTTCGACGTACTGAAGCAGAATCATAACACTAAGGACAAGACTCATGCGTCACTGTGTACAGCGGTATACACAGGTAGTCAAAGTAGCGTAGGCGCACACAGGTTGCTGTGCCAGCGAGTTATGCATATTTTTCTATTTATGGATGGAATAGATTATATAAGTCCGGGGAAGTGGACAAAGAGATATAAATTTAAGACTGAGCCGCGGCTCGAAGAATATCTTAGATGTATGCTCGGGAATGTCGCTCTATTACAGCTGTACGGGGAGAAGTGTGAACACATGGCAGTTGTACGAACGGTATCCAACAGTATGGATACGTTAAGGGAAGCGTTTCGCCAAGTGGATATTAGTAAAAAATGCGCAGGTCTGAATTATCGTAGTATGAAGATTGGTACTAAACTTATAGGGTTGACCATGGGACGATGGATGGAAGAACTAAGGGCAGGGCGGCATGTAGGAAGTATAAAAAGCAGCAAAGAAGTAAGAACATGTAACCAAGGCAAGGGAATGAAAACAAAAGAGGCTAATGCAGCCGGAGTTCGGCAGCACGACACTATGCCAATTGTAGACATGATGGAGGATGGTACTAAGGACGCAGTAAAGACATTAATTGAGAAAGGAAAGGACCTGACGCATGAAGTGAAGAAAAAAATAATTGAAACAGTGAAAGATAGCACCAATCCGGAGAAAATGATGGAGGACATATTAGACACCGTGCGAAACTGTAGTGCTAAGGGTGACGCATACGTACAAAGCGCATTAGAGCAGGTGCAACCATCTGTCAACCCAGTCGCGGCCAACCCAGCACCTACAGCATCGTCGGCCACCACCAAGGCGGCAATACCGAAGGAACCGACAGGTAAGGACCGATGGGGAGAAAGCACCAACACGGCCCAACACGTATTATACGGCCGTTACCGACACAGCCCATACGGCCCGCATGTATACAGTACCGATATGGATGCCGCCACCACCACAACAACACACACACGCGGGAAGAACAGCACGGCAAACGGCCACAACACACGCACACGTGGGCGAACCACAGCGCACGTGAACTACGGACGGGCGCGCAACAGCACAGCAGCCACGACGGCAGCTGCCCCACTTCGGTTGACGTTGAACGGCCAGGACGGCACATCGCCCTTCGTTGAGCCGAGCGAGCAGCGGCTACGACGGCAGAAGCATTTGATGTTGTTGTTATTACTGCGGATTTTTGTTGTACGCGCACACAGAGACAGTGTGTGCAGGCGTTTAGTGGAGACCGGTGTAGAAAGCGGGGCGCGGGGTGTATATTCATGACGTTGTGTAGTGTTTGTCGTATATTTTCTTTTCTTTGTGCTCTTTTTTTATTTTGTTTTATTGTTTTTTGATTCTTCGTCTTTTTTGTTTTGTTTTCTTCTTTCTTTTTTTTTTCCTATATGCAATCTGTCCGTGTTACCTATATATGATTCCTCCGGATTTTAATAATAGTTGCAGCATGGGATTGACGTAGCAGCGACAGGAATAGGTGTTTTCGTTCTGTATCGAGGTCTAGTGCTCTGTTTTACGGGGCACAATTGCTAATAAGTAGTAGAGGAAGAATATAGGAATCAGGAGTAGATGGGGCATGTAGTGGTTCATGCAGTTCACATGGAGCACTCATACAATAGTGAAAAGTGCAATGTTATAGATTAACTAGGGGAACCAGGGCAAAGATGAGTGTAACAGAGTTCGTGAAAATATTGGCGGAGTATGTGTTGGATAGGCAACTAAGGGCGGATACGAATGACACGGATACTGGGTCTGGCAGTTTTAGCGTAAGATATTGAGACAGAGTATCAGAGAGAGCATGAATGGGGATCCACGAGTGACCCCAGTGTTTATTTGTAGGAGCAGTATACATATAAGGGCCATGTAGAGTAGTCATATTTTTACGCGGACGTCAGAATACCAAAAACGAGGACGAGGCACGGTGGTGGCTTTTGCAATTTGTTCCATGGCCACAGGCAGCATAGAAAAAGTACACAGTACGGGATAAATGTTCCTATATGAATTATTCTACGTGTAGGCTACAGTATGGAGTGACATAGAAAGCATATTCCAGCAGTTAGGTAAGAACCTGATGCAAAGAAACGACTTCAATAAAGGAATATGCGAAGGTATTTACAGTGCGGACGGAACCAAAGTGACGCCACAGAAAATGATATGTACGCAAATTGTGAACATTTTTCTTTTTATGGACGGGATAGATCGTAATGGGGAAGTCTGGAGCAGAGCAAAGGACAACGAACAACAGTGGAAATTTCAGAAGTATATAAGGTGTATTATGGGCAATGTGGCCTTAACTGAATTATTTTGGGAAGACTGCGAGAAGAGGGGCATAGTGGACGCAGTCGCACGGAATATGGACACGTGGAGACAAGCGCTGAAGTATAAGGATAATAGTAGGTGGTGCCATGAATTAGAGTATAATAAATTAATAGTAGGCACAAAATATGTGGGGCTAACCATGGCAGAATGGATAAGAACTTGGCATCAGCGAACTAGACCGGGAAAGCTGGCAGGAGGCCCGGACAGGCCGAAATGTAGCGCGCTGAATATTAAGGAACACACAAGCGGAACACATGGGAACATATTAGAACCGGAACCTATTGTTAGGATGTTCCGGGACGGACAGGCCGCGGCCATACACAACTTGGTGAAGTACGTGCAGGATTTAGAAGAAGAAGAAAGGAAGAAGCTGATGGATAGGCTTGGGCAGGAACGACCGCACAACGGATTAGACGCAATAATACAGAACATCGAGGCCCAGGTTGGCACCAAGGACCCCACATTCCAGCAGCCACCGTCCGAACCGAAGGCACCCACACCACCAGAGCACCCTACACCGGTCGCACCGGGAGCCGCGGCAACAAGACCACCGGGACAGACAGGTAAGGACCGATGGGGAGCAAGCACGAATGCGGACAGATACGACCGAATACGTACCGTACTGCTCAATATGGATGCCGCCACCACAACGCACACGCAGGCGCAACAGCACCACACTTCGTTGACGTTCAGCGGCGACGGATGCAGCGGCGGCCAACACGGCAGCGGCGACGGCGAGGCACCGCACGAGGGATGGAGACGAGATGTCGGCGACAAATAAAAGTGTACTAACCGTCCGGCCAACGTACCTAATCCATCCCACCCAACCCACTTCGTTCCTTTCTCTCTTTCTTTTTCTTCTTCTAACACGTGCCGCCCCCTTCTTTCTGTACCACTTGTGTCCTTTTTGTTTTTATCATCTTTCTCATCCATCTTTCTTCCGTTTTCCTTTTTGCAGGGAGGGACAAGGAGAAGAAGAAAGAAGCTCCGCCGCCTAAAGTTCCAGCAGCGTCACCACCGAAGAAACCAGACGTACCGCCACCAGTTAAGGTACCAGAGGTACCAAGGGAGGTTGTTACCGAGAACAACGTACCAGTACCAACAACTTCACCGGAAGCACAGGCACCAGCCGTAGGACCCGGAGGAAGGTCAGATCCCTCAACATCAGAGTCACTCCCACCACCACAACCCCCGGTATCACCACCACCAGCAGAAGGATCTGAGAAAGCAGGTAAGGATAAGTCCAAACCAACATGCCCTGCAGCAGGCGGATCCCACACGAGACATGTAGGGGAAGGTATCTTAAGCGTGTCTGTCTCGTTCGTCCCTTCTTCGGACCCCAAGGATTGCTCAGGTAGTAATAGTCCAGAGCCTCCGGCGTGTAGTACCCCACTCGACAGCAAAGTGCACCAATGGGGTCCATATGCTATTGTCGGTACCCTGAGTACACTATTGGGCGAGAAAGAACACAAAAAACAAAAACAACAAACCCACAATTTCCGGAGAGAGAGGGAGAGACCACACGGAGAGAGAAACCACGCAGAGAGAAACCAAACGTCGAATGAGAATGCAAGCGGCAGAGCGACAGCGATGGGTCGGCCGCGGGATGTACACGTCGACAGACCGACAGGTCGCCACACCCACAGTGTGTGTTGTGTTGTGTTGTGGGAGAGAGAGTCTTTTTCCGGGGTGGCACCTGCCAACCACCGTTCGCACCGTGGTCAACCGGGAGCGATGGACCCCAAGCACCCGTCGTCAGCCGACCGTGTGCCCAACCAAATATCTGAAGGTGCAGATTCTTTCATATTCTTTTCCTCCTGTTCTAACTTACAGATCAAGATGTTACTCCGGTTACACAACGTACGAACCAGGAAGGATCAGGGGTGCAACCTGGGCAGGAACCAGTGCCAGCTTCATCTGGACCCGGTTCTACTGGTGACCAACACCCCGGTTCCTCCGGTCCAGGTTCTGCGGGGACAGGAGCAACTGGGACTCAGGGTACCGGTTCTTCTCCTTCCGGTGGCCCAGGTACACAGGACAATAACCAAGGTCCGATTAGTCTTCCTCCCTCCCCGAAACCCTTCGACCCCAAGGATCTCATGCGCTACACCCCCGCGATCATTCCCGCAGTGGTTGGTATTGGGATAATTGCGTTCTTCCTATGGAAGGTAAGTATATACGGCAATCACGGAATCCCGCACGTGCAGGATGTTTATACCTCAGAACATCCCTACGCGCACCAATATATGATCGTTCTAACACAAATGTACTGCTACACCCGTGTTCATTCCTTTTATCCTACCGTCCTCACTCTGCTCTTTACCCCCCTTTTTTCTGCTTAGTATTTTGCGCACCTCGGAACAAAACGACGACGAACATATCGAACTATGCGTGACGTGCCGTCACGGCCACTCGACGAAGAAATATTGCAGCATCTACAACGCGGCGAACTGCCGCCCGATTACGGGTACACCTTGATTAGGGATAGGCGGCCCGCATCTGCTGCCGAACACCGACGACGACGTCATCCACGCGTGCATAAGCGCACGATCATCGAGCTACATCTAGAAGTGCTCCACGAATGTGAAGCAACCGAATGGGAAAGCGTCAAACACGACTATTTGCAGATACTCGTGCAGGAGTTTGCGCAGGAGTTTGCGCGTGACTTGGAGCCCGATGCAACCGGGCACAGTAGTTCCCCGCATGCTGCTACGCCAAACGAGGGTTTATCACGGAACAATGTTTCCTCCACCCTGGATCCACCCACTGACACCGAAGGAACAGATCCATGTCCACCACATGACCCCGATCCATGGAGTTGTATGGAAACCATACAGTTAGAACCGCACACTTCTGCACCTAACGACGATAACCACGATCCATGGAGTTGTATGAAAAACATACAGTTAGCAACGGACCCTTCTGCTTCTAACGAACAGGACCCCGATCCCTCGAGTTGTATGGAAACTATACAGTTAGATGCACCACAGAGTCGTACTCATTCCGACCACGGTGACGAGACGTTGGCGTGCACCCACTGGATTAACTGGATTGACCGGCACAAGCACCTATTGCAGGACTGCACGACGCAGCCGTGGTTTCTGCAATTAACAGCGGAATGGAAACAATACCTGAGTGAGCACATGGTGGCAAACGCGGCTCACGGAGTATACGTGCAGCGTGCCTTCGGTGAAGTGGCAACCATGGAAAGGAACAAACTGGATGCATGGAAAGAATGGGTTGCAACACAACATGAGCTTCTGAATATACATGGTGAGGAGGAGTGGTTTCAACACCTATGGAGTAATATCGAGGAGACCGGAGTAGTAACAGAGCACGACGGCATGCCGGAACAGATACGAATGTTGGAAGGAGTGAGTCACATACACACAGTAGATGAAAAACCGACCACATTTGTAACAGAACACGGGCCAACTGTAGAAAAAGGTTTACAAGTACAAGAAGCACTGGACGGCGGATCAGCTTTGAAAGTGCGACATGTACCACGGCCCCAACCACTGCATAAGCAACCTTACATGAAAAAACCGTTAACCGCTACAATATGGATACTGATCCTGGCATTAGTCATAGAACAGTGCGAGGTCGAACGCAATTTGCAAGAGACGGAGTTATATGTGGATGAACTATTGGACAACATCTGCAATTAAGATGACGGGGCATCTGCATGCGACATAACGCATGCTAACGGTAGACCACTTTTACTTCATTATGTTATATACATAATATATTTCGGGTTTACATTATTCCATACGTTCTTTTTTTTGTTTGTCCTCTGTTCTGCTCTGTTCTGCTTGTGCTTACTTTTGCCTTGTTTTGTTCTTTTTCTGTGTAGTCCACTTCTTTTAACACGACAATGCGGACACGGTGGTAAACGTCAAATGCATATAAAATGTAGATTTACATGAATAATATGAAGGGGTAGTCTTCTCCTTTATGTGAAGTTAATTATTAAAAGATGAGCAAGTGCATGCGAAGGGTATAGTGCAGCACATATATAGCATTCGAATAAGCATTCGAGTATACGGAGACATTGTCTGTCCGAGCAAACGCGGCCGCGTACAGGCGATTGTCTCCGAGTGTAACACGCATTCGATGCAGGATTGTCCCAGTGTAAGAAGGAGGACACATTGTCTCTCCGCGCAAACGCGCCTCAGTATAACACGCGTCGACCACCGCGGCCGGGTAAAGGCGATTGTGCGCGCAATGCGACCGAGTGTAACCAGGATTCGACGACGTAGCCGCGGAAGGATCCGAATAGAGACAAAAGAGAGAGGGCGGGCAGCGAAGGAACCCATATATTATATGGGAGGACGAACGACGGAAGAAAACTTGCTGTTGTGGTTATACGGCGGTTTTAGTGTAGAAGAAGGGGCCATTTGTGGTTAAGGATATTAGTGAACAGGGGGGAATGTGCTCACTATGTATCGGTAGAAGTTCCCATTAGAGGAATATGATTCCGAAGAGTAATGTTCAATTAATGTGGACTTTGAATAAGTATCGCGCAACGGGGCATCCTAAATAAGAACAACACTAAGGACGCAGCCATGTGGAACTATTTAATAGTACTGTGGGAGGATTATATTGCGAAGGGGGATACAGGATGGAAGGATAAGAATATTAAAGACCGCGGGGTAAGTACATTTGCATGGGAAAATAGGACAGGGGGATAACCTGTACTGTGTGCATGTATTAGAATGCAACTGGGGGAACACGTTAGGACGAGTTGCGTAATCATCTTCTCGTCTGCTGTATTGTCTTTAGAGCACGTGCGCACATATATGTATAAGAGTATAAATGTATGTATATATACAATTATGTGCAAAAGGTGAGTAGGAGTGTGAATATAATTTAATTAGCACCTTTAATGAATATTGCACTCATAGAAAAATTTCTGGGAACATGTGAAGACAGTATGGGCACAATTTAACGAATACGTGCAGCAGGAACAGGACGATGGACGTGCGCGCATTATGTGCGCGGCAGGACGGGATGGGGAACAGGGGGCGCCGTGGACTAGCGAAGACATGGGTATATGCGAATTAACATACATAGCATTAGATTTTAAACATGATATGGATTCGGTGATAGCAAGCGCGGCGTCCGGGACTCTGGACAGTGCAGTAGATGAGGACGCGAAAATGAAGTCATACATTAAATGTTTCCTAGTAAATGTATTTATGAAAAAAATAATGGGAAAGAAGTGTTTGCAAACACTTGGTGGGCAGTGGGCATTTAATTCTGCAAATGGTATGTTGAAGGGTTTCGGTGGAGTAAAGGTAGGTAATATTTCATGTGAAGAGAAGGATGCAGGGGAGGGGGGGATACCAGTGGTGAAAGCAGAAGATAGAACTTTTTGGCAAATAATGGACAGATGGTTCGAAGACAACAGGGTAAAATTGAAAGATGGGGATTATGGACTACTGGGGAACGATTGTAAAGTGGAAAGAGCAGGAACAGCGAGAGTGAATGATTTGAAGAACACAGTGAAGGAGGAAGTGCGGACTGTGGGGAAGGAGATCGAACAGAAGGTGGACAAAATAAAAGAAAGAATAAAAGAATGTACTGGTACGGAAATCAACTGTGTAAAGACGTTATTACAGGAGGAGAGGGACAAGGAAAAGAATCAGCAGGACTCCTCCTCGAAACCTGCGGAAGCAAACGGACAGTCCAGACCGCCGGGGCCGTCACAGGGCACACAGGCATCATCAACACCAGGCGGGTCAGATAAAAAGGAAGGATTGCTTCCTCCCCAGAAAGAAGCAGAAGCAGCACCGGAAGGAAGATCCGAGGAACCTGCGCAACCACCGCCATCACGGCCGCCGCCACCGGCACCGCCGCCAGCCACAACAGGAGGAGCAGCAGTCGGGCAACGACCTGCACAACAACCCCCACTGGCGGCACCACCGCGGCCACAACAACCAGAAGAAGGGGAAAAGAACAAGGAAAAAGTAGAGGATACAGATGTGCAAGGTAAGGACACTAAGACCACGGAGGACCAGTGGGATTTCCTAGATAATATAGATCCCTTACCTGGGGAGGAACGCCCAGATCCCAGAATTACGGACGAAACCGACCAGTATAGAGGGAAGGGCCCAGTGGGTATCCCTGGGAGTACACGTGTGATAGACATATCTAAAGGGACTTCTCCTGATATTTCAGGAGCACCCCCAGGTGCGCACTATACGACGTCAGTGAGGGAGAATCATACCAAAGGTTCCATTACTCTTACCCTTAGTTCATGGATAGGGAAAGAGACACGAAAAAAAAAAGAAACAACAACTTTTCCGGAGAGACAGAGGGAGAGAAAACACGGAGAGAGAGACACCAAACGTCGAATGAGAATGAGCGGGACGCAGAGCGTCAGAGCGATCGGCCAAGCGACGGGTCCGCCGCGGGATGCAGATGTAGACAGACACAGACACACTGTGTGTTGTGTGTTGTGTGTGCGAGAGAGAGAGTCTTTTCCCGGGGTGGCAACTTGCCACCCCACGTCCCCCGTCAGCGGTCAACCGTACCCTCGTGAACCATGCCGCCGTCTCGTCCACGATGGCGGTAAACCGTGTGGCCATCCACCTTACAAAGTTTAGTTTCGTCATGCACACTTTTCTGTATGTCCATTCAGGATCCCAGGCACCACCGAAGGCCTGTAATGCGCAGGACCATGATACGCAGCCTACAGCGAGTACGGCATCTGCTGGTACCACGAAGTCCATTGATGCGGGTGAACACGGTGATCCCAATAAAGACAAAGGGCAGCTGGATGGTTCTCAAAACGAATCTAAACACACGTCCTCCCCTGCAGTCCAGCATCCGTCCAGTACTCCCAGTGCAGCTGCTCCCGCGGGTCATAGTCCAGCCCCTGGTGAAGCCGATGATAAGGTCGCCGATGGCGGTAACGATGACCCGCCTCCTCTCAATCCACCCAAACCAAAACCAGAAACCACGAACCCAGATCAATCGGGGAGCAGCCCCAGCGGCAGCAGCGGCGGCACTGGTCCTGGTGTAGGTGGTGTTTCTGGTGGGGAAGGAAAGGGAGGTGGGGGTGGTGAAAAGGCTGCTGGCGGCACCGGTAGCGGAAGTGCAGGACCAGGAGGTCGTAGTGGTGCTGGCGTTAGTGGTGGTGCTAGTGGCAGTGGTGCAGTTCCTGGCGCTACTGGTGCAGCTGGTGTAGGACACGGCGGTGGAGGTGGTGCCACAGGTGGAGAGCCAGGTGCAGGTAGCGTAGATGCAGGACCAGGTTCTACTGGTCACCAAACCCCAGGTTCTTCAGGACCTGGCTCCACGCGCACTTCGCAACCAGGTTCCTCAGGATCGGTATCAACGGGTCACCAACCCCCTGGTTCCTCAAAACCAGGATCCGACCCGTCCACGCAACCCAATAACGCACAGGGTACGGGTTCTAAGCCTACAGATCCAGATGGTGGCTTTGGACTATCCTTGGACCGTGCACCAGCCGTAGGTAACATAGGAGAAGGATATGCACCAGCGACTCCAACAGAAAAAACATCGGGCAATGGGGATATGAACTCGGGTGCCGGTCCTGATGGACCCGACCTAACCGCCGACATCCTTACCGCCACTGCTCCCGTACTCTTCTTCCTGTCCGCCGTCACCGTCGCCTTTCTTGGTTATTCCCTTTGGAAGGTAAGTATATACGACAATGCGCGCATGCCGCATGTGCAGGATGTTTATACCGCAGAAACTCACTACGGGCTCCAATATATGATGGTTCTAACCAATATACTGCTACACCCGTGTTCATTCCTTTTATCCTACCGTCCTCACTCTGCTCTTTACCCCCCTTTTTTCTGCTTAGTACTTTGCGTACCTCGGACAAAAACGACGACGAACATATCGAACCGTTCGTGACGTGCCGTCACCGCCACTCGACGAAGACATATTGCAGCATCTACAACGAGGACCGCCACCCGATTACGGGTACACGATGGTTAAGGCCACGCAACCTGCGTCAACATCCGGTAGAGGCCGCCCACCACGCGTGCATAAGCGCACGATCATCGAGCTACATCTAGAAGTGCTCCACCAATGTGAAGCAACCGAATGGGAAAATGTCAAAGACGACTATTTGCAGATACTCGTGGAGGAGTTTGCACAGGAGTGTGCGCGGGACCCGATTATGTGCAGTAGAATCTTGGATGTTCCGACCTCGCACGCCTCTATCACAACCCACGATTCGACAACCCGGCATACACCCACGGACATCGACGGAACAAATCCATTACCACCGAATGAAGACGACCCCGATCCATGGCGTTGTATGAAAAACATACAGTTAGAACAAGAAAGGACTCATGCGCCCCCTCTCCCCTCTTCCGGCCCCGGGAATGAATGCCCGACGTCCGACTGCACCCCATGGATTAACTGGATTGACCGCAACAAACATATGCTGCGGGAGTGCACGACGCAGCCGTGGTTTCTGCAATTAAAAGTGGATTGGAAACAATACCTGCGTGCGCACATGCTGGCAACCGAGGACAACGTAGTATCCGCGCACCGTGAATTCGGTGAAGCAGCCACCCCGCCGATGAAGAAATTGGACCTGTGGAGACAGTGGGTAGCGCAACAACATGCACAAGTGCGTATGTATAACGCGGAGGAGTGGTTTCAACACCTATGGAGTAATATCGAGGAGACAGGAGTAGTAACAGAGGAAGACGGCATGCCGCAACAGATACGAACGGTGGAAGGAGTGAGTCACATACACACAGTAGATGAAAAACCGACCACATTTGTAACAGAACAGGGGCCACCTGTAGAAAAAGGCTTAGCAGTAGAAGAAGCACTGCAAGGCGGATCAGCTTTGAAAGTGCGACATTTACCACAACAGCAACTGCATCCAGAACTGTACAGAACAAAACCGTTAACCGCCCTCAAATTGTGGACGCTCCTCCTCGCGTCGGTAATCGAAGAATGCGAGCGCGAACGCAGTTTGCAGGATAAGGAGTTATATGTGGATGATCTATTGCAACAGTGTTAACATTAGGATGACGCGCCATATGCATGGGAATAATGCAATCACGCATGCTAACCGTACACCACTTTTGCTTCATTATGTGATATACATAATATATTTCGTGTTTGCACTATTACATGCCTTCTTTTTTTTTTTTCTGCTCTGTTCTGCTTACTTGTGCTTACTTTTGCTTTTGTTTGTTTCTTTTTCTGTGTAGTCCACTTCTTTTAACATGACCATACGCCCGGGTGGGTACCGGTTACATGCATATAACATGTAGATTTAAATGAATACTATGACGGGGTCGTATTCTCCTTTATGGGAAATTAATTATTAAAAGCTGCGCACGTGCATTCTAATGGTGTAGAGTAGAACTAATATAGAATGCGCATACGCATTCGCGTACAAGGAGAGATTGTCTCTCCGCGCAAACGCGCCCGCGTAAAGACGATTGTCGCCGAGTGTAAGAAGGAGGAGCAGATTGTCTCTCCGAGCAAACGCGGCCGATTCGACGAAGTAGCCGAGTAAGGGTTTGTCCGAGTGTAAGAAAGGAGGGAGCGATTGTCTCTCCGAGCAAACGCGTCGACCAAAGCGGCCGCGTGTAACAACGATTCGACGTAGTAGCCGAGTGTAAGAAGCAGGAGGATTGTCTCTCCGAGCACACGCGGCCGGATACACGGATTGTCCCCGCGTGAACGTATTTGACGACGTAACCGAGTGTACGAAAGGAGGGAGAGATTGTCTCTCCGAGCACACGCGTCGAGCCACGCGGCCGAGTGTAAGAACCATTCGACGAAGTAGCCGCGTGGAAGCCCGATTCGACGACGGATTGTCCGAATGTAAGACGGAGGAGAGATTGTCTCTCCGAGCAAACGCGGCTGCGTATAACACGCATTCGACGAAGTAGCCGAGTGTAAGAACGATTCAACGAAGTAGCCGAGTAAGCATTGTGCCGAGTGTAAGAAAGGAGGGAGAGATTGTCTCTGCGAGCACACGCGTCGACCAACGCGGCCGGGTAAAGCACATTGTAGCCGCGTGTAACAAGCAGGAGAGATTGTCTCTCCGAGCAACCGCGTCGACCAACGCGGCCGGGTAAAGCAGATTGTCCGAGGAAGTAGCCGAGTAAGCATTGTGCCGAGTGTAAGAACCGGCAGGGAACCGCCACCTGTAGTGTTTCCTATGCAATGTTGCTCTTGTTCTTGCTATGTATATTCTACAACGTCGCTTAACGCATACGAGCTGCATAAAATAAAGGAGCGCGTGGGATGATACGGTAAGACGATTCCGATGTTGTAGAAAAATTGCATATGACGCACGCTCAACTTCCTATCGCATATGAAAGCAGCATTAGAGGAGCATTTGGGACGGAAACGGCACAGAAGGGCCACGTTCGCAACATGCACCACGAGCAAATGAATCGTGCAACATGAATATACGGATGATGCATATGTTCCTTTGGAAAGGGTACAATCTTCCTCTCACTCTGCCTGTCCCTCTCTCTGTGTAGAACACATTAGGGGGAAGATGTAAGATGCCCTCATGAAGTAACTGTATATAACAAAATGAGTAGGGGAAGTACCAGTTCTGGACCATGGATGGAAATATTAAGGCTGTATGCATCAACGAAAACAACAGGAAAAACTATAAATCAAGAAGAAACAGTAAGACTAAACGATTAAGTACTTGATACGAAGTATGACTAAAAAATGTGTGCGAATTATTACAGAATATTGAGGGCTCTGTGCGTATAATATATAAGTATGTGTCATAGAATTCTAATATCATTCCGAAAAGTGCTAAATTCATGCACAACCGCAATGTATGAATGCTTCCGTTAAACATGAACCCATATATAAGAGAAGCGTATACAGTTATATATAAAATATATTTACTTTAGGCAACATTATGGAGCACAATAACGCGAAATTGGAGTGAATTCATGAGGTACATTGTAAGCAGTACTCCCATTCAGCTCTATGGACCACTCTGTAATACTGGTGCGGGGGTGCATTTAGAGCAACAAGAAAATGGAGAACACAGATATGAGGTGCCGATGAATAAGGAAGAGACAAATGCATGCACGTCCATGATAGTTGCTCTGTCCTTTGCTAATGGATGGCACATAAGGGGAGAGCATACGGGCAGGAGCAGTGTGAGTCAGAATACAATGGATGATTTCGTAAGGTGTGCTATAGCAAATATATTTATGTATAAATTGGAAGAATTATTCTGTGTTGAGAACTTGGGTATACGGTACGCATGGTATATAATGGAAAACATGGACGCACAGGGCATGAAAAATTTAATTAAGGACGGGAAATGTACGATGAACATGACCGGATATCGGAAAGGATGGAATGAAGCCGAAAAGAAGAAAATTAAGGGTTTCCTGCAGTCTGATGAAGGAATGTTCCAAGGAATACCAAAAACAGCCACGGGGACTACGTGTACGACGCAAGTAAAAATGCAGAAGGCACAACATGACAAAATACAGGTGAAGTCGGCAAATGAGGACAATAAGGATGGTAAGTAGAACACATATTCTTCATAAAAATGTGCGTAAGTATGTCGTTAGAGATGAACTAACAGCCGTAAGTAGACGCTCCTCCAAGAGGAGCGGGACGCACATGTGTCGTAATGTGCGACGTTCAAAACAGTGCGATGGGAACTGAGGGTGCTTGGGATGCTTTATGAGAACAACGCCATCTCGCCCTTTGCTGCCGTCCACGCCGACGCCGCCGCCGACGCCACGACCGGCGCCAGCACCCAGACCGCCGCGACCACCGGCCGGTAGTCCAGGACACACCGGGACGGCTACAACAGCAGTAGGGAAAGCAGGGTCACCACCCGCACGAACATCAGATACATCAGGAGCAAACAGTGGACCGGGTCAAGCCGCCAAACCCGGCCACCCTGCTAAACCAGCACCTACCAAACCAGTAGCGGCGAAACCGGTGGCAACGAAGACGACAATAACGACCGAAGAAAAGACATGTCAGGGGCAGAAAATATTGGAGTGGAGAGAGAGGGAAATATACGTGGCGCAACAATATAGTGTAAGTTATAATAACACAAGTTGCGGGGAAACGGAACAGCAAGGAGAATTTATTAATACGCTTACATGCACATATGTGAGGGTGTAAATGCACTCAGGCCAGAAGAGTGTTTTTGACATGGGCACATGAGTTCTTTTCTGCATGTTCGCGTACAACATGTAGGATGAGCAATGGAACAAGGTGAAGAGCGTGTTGGAGGAGTTTATTCAATATTTGAAGGAGAATAATGAGAACTTTGACGACTACGGTGCCAACTGTGATAATGAAGGTTGGGATGATTTCATACAAGGGCAACACCATACGGGCCAAACGGTGGCGGATATGATGAGGTGTCGACTCATGACGGGTGCATTGTGGTTTGCGAACGGTGCTAATGGAGGTGGAGTGGATGATGAAGACACCAACAAGCTAAGATGTGAGGTGGCCCATGTCTTCGGGCATCTACTGAACACGTTGTACTGTAAGGATAAGAAGGGCTACAAGAGAGGTATAGAGTATGCTTGGCAGGCAATGAGGAGTATGAAGAGCGGAGCATCGGGTACGTCTGGTGTACTGGGGGGTCCTGTTATAGACGGTACGTGTACAGAGTGCGGGTATGGAGATAACAAGAGGAATATAACAGCAATAAATTTGCGCATAGCACAATGGTTATTGGAGCATGGAAAAGTAAGTTCTGAAGTAGCACAAATGCAACAGGCAATGCCGTGTACAACAAAATGGAGAGATTATATTAATGAGGACGCAAAAAGAGGGGATCCTCTCGACGACGTGTTGACGACAGAGGGCATGCAGGCAAAGAAGAGACTGGACAAGGATATAGTACAGAAAGCGGAAAGGATCTTTGAGCGGGCGAAGGAAGCAGTAGAAAAGAAAATAGCAGAACTGAAGGAAGGTAAGCATACGAATACCACGGCTAAGAACACGCGCACGGCCGAATACGCATGCCAACGGATGGCACCGATATCGACGCATATGGATACCGCCACCACAACAACAACGCAACTGCCACAACAAAGCACACGCGGCGACAACAGCAGCACAGCACCACACTTCGTTGACGTTGAGCACAGCGGCCACAGCGGCGGCGGCGGCGGCGACGGCACCGGTAGCGGTAGCGGTGGCGCGTGTGTACCATCGTCACAGTGGTGTGACAGTGGTGCGTGGGGTCGAGCGCGCGCGACGCGGGACGAGATGACGGCAAGAACATACAAGTTGTACTGCTACCATCCACCTCACCGTACGGTTGCTGCCGCCGACCCCAGTCCATCGCAGTGCACCTCGATCCACTGCATCGAGCCGGACCCTACACTGCCGTTACGTGACGCAGCCGTCTAGGCCCCTTCTTTCTGTCTACCACTTGTGTCCGTTTTTTTTTTTTATCATCTACCATTTTTTCTTCTCCTGCTTCGTTCTTTATTCCAGCGGAGAAGACCAAAAAAACAGCGGGAACCAGTGACAAGACGACGGCAGCGGACACGGGCAGTGCACCGGGACCTACCGCAGCAGGGGGAAGTCCAAGTCAGGGAAAAGGAGTAGCAAGATCAGAGGAACCTGCGGAACCACCTGGCCGTCCTAGTGGAACAGAGGACAAAGGAAACAGATCACCACCACCGCCAGAACCGGCACGTCCGGCAGCGCCCGCTCCATCGGGGACTTCACAAGGTGAGCATGATGTGGAGAAGATACTGATGGAGATTGACGAACAGGAGAAAGAACGACTTGCACGTATTAGTACTACGGGCCGATTCGAGGGTGAGGACCTGGTAAACGTGATTCGTCCAGGAGATAACAGTTCGATTAGCATAAGTACAGGGACCTCAAATCCCACTTGGACAATACCCACAGGTATAGGTGCTATGAAAAACACAAATACGTTCAGAGAAATAAGAGCATAACTGGGGCTTTGCATACAAGAACAAACACAAAAGAATAAAAGAGAGAACAAAAAAACAAAAAACAACGGAAAAAAAAAAAAAAGAAAAACAAGAACAGGAAACAACAATTTCCGCAGGCAGAGGGAGAGACAACACGGAGAGAGAGAAACCAAACGTCGACTGAGAATGAGCGGCGCAGTCAGCAGCCGAGTGGCCGAGCGCGAGAGCGACAGATCGAGCGTGAGCGATCGGCAGCACGACGTCGACACAGACACACACATAGTGTGTGTGTTGTTTGTGTCGTTGGCGAGAGGGAGTCTTTTACCGGAGTGGCACCGTCCCCGCTTCCTGCACCATCGTGCCAACCGTGTGGTCAACCTTAACGTTCCACCGCACACAAAACTTCAGTTTCATCATGCTCTTTTTCTTTTTTCGGCCATGTTTTCTAGGTGATGCTAATCCTAAAGCTACCATCGAGGAACCAGCAGTACCGGTTACGACAGGACGCACGGCAGATACGGTACCTGAACCAGCACCACAACCACCAGCAGCATCACCAGCAGAACCAACAACAACCACAACAACATCCTCCAGTGCAGCACCAGGGGCACCAGCTGGTGCTAGTGAGCCCACTCCCGCGCCTGCGGAAGATAGCGTGAACAACACACAGATAGATACTCCTGTTGACACCAAGGGTGACACTGGTCCCCCCGGTCCAGCCAGTCCTAGTGGTACAGCAGGTGACGATGGTGAAGCAGGTACGAACGACGTAGATGGAGGCAGTGATGGAGGTACTGGGGAGGACCCCCCTCCTCTCAATCCACCCAAACCCAAACCGAACCCGAACCCAAATCAATCGGGGAGCAGCCCCAGCGGCAGCAGCGGCGGCACTGGTCCTGGTGTAGGTGGTGTTTCTGGTGGGGAAGGAAAGGGAGGTGGGGGTGGTGAAAAGGCTGCTGGCGGCACCGGTAGCGGAAGTGCAGGACCAGGAGGTCGTAGTGGTGCTGGCGTTAGTGGTGGTGCTAGTGGCAGTGGTGCAGTTCCTGGCGCTACTGGTGCAGCTGGTGTAGGACACGGCGGTGGAGGTGGTGCCACAGGTGGAGAGCCAGGTGCAGGTAGCGTAGATGCAGGACCAGGTTCTACTGGTCACCAAACCCCAGGTTCTTCAGGACCTGGCTCCACGCGCACTTCGCAACCAGGTTCCTCAGGATCGGTATCAACGGGTCACCAACCCCCTGGTTCCTCAAAACCAGGATCCGACCCGTCCACGCAACCCAATAACGCACAGGGTACGGGTTCTAAGCCTACAGATCCAGATGGTGGCTTTGGACTATCCTTGGACCGTGCACCAGCCGTAGGTAACATAGGAGAAGGATATGCACCAGCGACTCCAACAGAAAAAACATCGGGCAATGGGGATATGAACTCGGGTGCCGGTCCTGATGGACCCGACCTAACCGCCGACATCCTTACCGCCACTGCTCCCGTACTCTTCTTCCTGTCCGCCGTCACCGTCGCCTTTCTTGGTTATTCCCTTTGGAAGGTAAGTATATACGACAATGCGCGCATGCCGCATGTGCAGGATGTTTATACCTACGAACATCCCGCCGCGCACCAATATATGATCGTTCTAACACAAATGTACTCCTACACCCGCGTTCATTCCTTTTATCCTACCGTCCTCACCCTCCTCTTTACCCCCCTTTTTTCTGCTTAGTACTTTGCGTACCTCGCCAAACGCCGACGAACATATCGAACCGTTCGTGACGTGCCGTCACCGCCACTCGACGAAGAAATATTGGCGCATCTACAACGCGGCGAGCCACCACCCGATTACGGCTACACCATGGTTCGGGATAGGCGGCCCGGAAGATTGCCCGCCGCACGCCGCCGACCACGCCCACCACGCGTGCATAAACGCACGATCATCGAACTACATCTAGAAGTGCTCCACGAATGTGAAGCGACCGAATGGGAAAACGTCAAACAGGACTATTTGAAGATTGTATTGCAGGAGTTTGCACAGGAGTTGATACGGGACGACCACAGGAATAACAATATCTTGGATGTTTCTACCACAACGCAGGGTTTATCAGGGAACAATATTTCAGCCACCGCGGATCCACCCACCTATTCCGACGCAACGAATCCATGTCCACCGAATGAAGAGGACCCCCATCCATGGAATTGTATGGAAAACATACAGTTAGAAAGGGACCGTTGTACACCGCATGCACACGACCCCGATCCATGGCGTTGTATGGAAACTATACAGTTAGCAACGGACCCTTGTCCACCTAATGACCCCGATCCATGGGGTTGTATGGAACCCATACAGTTAGCAACGGCACCTTCTCCACCTAATGAAGAGGACCCCGATCCATGCAGTGGTATGGAAACCATACAGTTAGAACCACAGCGGACTCCTGCTCTCTTTCCATCCTCTTCCGACCCCCGGAATGAATGCCCGATCCCCGACCACACTAATTGGATTAACTGGATTGACCGCAGCAAGCATATTCTGCGGGAGTGCACGGGGCAAACGTGGTTTTTGCAATTAACAGCGGATTGGAAACAATATTATCAACAACATGCGACAGACGACGTATCCGGGCACATTCACAACGGTGCAGCGGCAACCATGGACAGGACGAAACTGCGGTTGTGGAAACAATGGGTCGCACAGCAACATCAGCAAATGTGTATGTATGGCCAGGAGGAGTGGTTTAAGCATTTGTTGAATAGTGTAGACGAGGAGACAGTACCGGAAACACGCGCAGTACCTACAGTTGACACAGACTTAGAAGTGGAAAAAGCAATGGCAGCAGCACATGTGCTACGAGTGAGAGATGTACCATGCACCCAACCACTGCATAAGCAACCTTACATGAAAAAACCGTTAACCGCTAACACATGGATACTGATCCTGGCATTAGTCATAGAACAGTGCGACGTCGACAGCCGTTTGCAGGAGACGGAGTTATATGTGGATGAACTATTGGAGCAACTGTGACATTAGTATGACGGGGCATATGAATGCGACATAACGCATGCTAGCCGTACAACACTTTTACTTCATTATGTGATATACATAATATATTTCGGGTTTACATTATTCCATACCTTCTTTTTTTTTTTTTCTTTTGTTCCTTCTGTTTACTTTTGCCTTGTTTTGTTCTTTTTCTGTGTACTCAACTTCTTGTAACATGACCATAGGAACAGGTGCGTACCGGTTAAATGCATATAACATGTAGATTTACATGAATAATATGAACGCGTAGACTTCTCCTTTATGTGCAGTTAATTATTAAAAGATGAGCAAGTGCATTCTAAGGGTATAGTGCAGCACACATACAGCATGCGAATAAGCCTTCGAGTCTAAGGACATTGTCTCTCCGAGCAAACGCGGCCGCGTACACCGCATTGTAGCCGCGTGTAACAAGCAGGAGAGATTGTCTCTCCGAGCAACCGCGTCGACCAACGCGGCCGGGTAAAGGCGATTGTCCGAGTGACGCGGTTCAACGCCGTAGCCGAGTGTAAGAACGGAGGGAGAGATTGTCTCTCCGCGCACACGCGGCCCGCTACAGCGGCCGGGTAAACGGGCTTGTCGACGACGTGGCCGCGTGCCAGCAGCAGCAGAAATTGTCTCTCCGAGCAAACGCGCCCGGGTAAACCCGATTGTCCGAGCACCGCGACCGCGTGTAAGACGGATTCGACGAAGTAGCCGAGTGTAAGAAAGGAGGGAGAGATTGTCTCTCCGAGCAACCGCGTCGACCCACGCGGCCACGTGTAAAACGGATTCGACGAAGTAGCCGAGTGCCAGCACGAGCAGCATTGTCTCTCCGAGGACACGTGGCCGGGTACACGGATTGCCACCGAGTGAACGTATTAGACGACGGATTGTCCGAGTGTAAAGACGGAGGAAAGATTGTCTCTCCGAGCAAACGCGGTTCGACGACGTGGCCGGGTAAACGATTCGACGACGTAGCCGAGTAAACATAGTGTCCGAGTGTAAGAAGGAGGAGAGATTGTCTCTCCGAGCACACGCGTCGACCAAAGCGGCCGCCTGCACCACGCAGGAGGATTGTCTCTCCGAGCAAACGCGGCGACGACGGGAGAAGAATTTGATGTTGTTGTTATTACTGCGGTTTTGAGGTGTACGCAGAGACATTGTGTGTGACAGGCGTTTAGTGCTGACCGGTGTAGACAGGGGGGCGGGGGGTGCTTTTCATGACGTTGTCTAGTATTGTCCTGGTGTTTCCTTTGGTTTTTTTTTTTTTTATTCTTTCTCTTCTTGTTATTATATCCTTGTATTTTTTTCTCTTTTCTAGATATAGTTCTACCTTAGCGAGGCTATAACAAGTGTACGGTAGCACTCTAGTGAGCACAAGTACGAAGGATACCAGCAGTTCATGAAATAATTGGTGTAGAAGTACAGGAACAATAATTATTTAGCAGAATATTAGCATACTACGAAAGAGAATGTTACATGGGTTTACATGTGATATATGTAGCATCATCATATTTCCATGGCAACGGACACTTTATAGTATAATAATAGAATAACACTAATATGTCAGCAGCGAACCTAGCCCAGCTGTTGGCCCAATGGGTACGGGAAGCGGGCATTGACGATCAGCAAGAGTATGAGGTAGGAGCACACAGGAATAGAACACCAAAACGGGTGGTTACGTGATAGGGTTTTATTGGTGAAAAAGAGAGTGGATCGCAGCGGCGCAAATAGCATTAAAGCACACATGAGCGTGTATATATTGCCTGTGTTTCTCTTACATTGTAGGCAATGCTGTGGAACAAGACTAAAGAGGTCATGGCAGAATTTGTGAATTACATGGACGACGACAACATAATACCGTATGCAGCGAACTGTGATAACGCCGGATGGGAGCACCACGGGTATAAGGACGGTTCGCAGGGAGTAGGACAAAAGGTCGGCGATAAAATTATATGCGTACTTATGGTAGGGGCATTATTTTTCATGAATTGGAGGCGTGGTGCAAAACCGGTTAGCGCACAGGAGGATGACACCAGTGCAAGAATAACGGAGCATTTACGCTGCATAATAGTACATATGTTTAGCGCCGTATTAAACGAATCCGTGTGTCCAAGCGACTGGGGAACATTTTATGCATGGTACCAAATGAAAGGGATGGGGCGTGGGAAAGGAGGTTTTCCGGCAGGTTTAATACAGAGGGGAATATGTGACAGAGAAATAGTCGCGGATGGGAAAATAGGGGAACTTAAGTTAAATGCAGCAGTCAAAGACTGGTTAGGGCAAAATACGAGACTCAAACAGCGGCTTCAGACAATGAAGGGAACTAAAACATGTCAGAAGAAATGGCAGCCGGGATGGAAAATAGCGGATTTATTGGATAACAACGATATGGAGCATAATGACACCTTAGGCATTACTCAGATAGTCGGCCAGTTGAGGGCCAGCATGAAGGACATATTGCAGGAACTCGCGAGCGACCTGCAGCAAACTACACAAAAGAAGGCTCAGGACGAGACGCAGACGTCAGGTAGGGCACGGGCGAGTGTGGCATCCTGAGACAGCTTCGAAAGCAGCAGAAAGCATAAGTACAGAGATGACAACTACAGAAACTGTCGAAGTACAAGGGAAAGTGCAACGCGACACACGAAGGAGATGTGTGAACAACGTTCATTGCTGTGTACTTCCAAGAATACAAAAACTAAATACGAACATTTCTAATTCCCGTTTTTGCCCTTTATTGCAGCGACGGATGACAAAAACGGGGAGGCAGTAACGACGGCTACTGTGCCGGCTGCAACAACAGGATCGACAGGTAAGGACCGATCGGAGAAAGCACGAATGCGGACAAATACGACCGAATACGTACCGTATTGCTCAATATGGATGCCGCCACCACAACAAGACGCAAACGCGGAGCAACAACAACAACGCACACACGGCGGCACAGCACCCCGTCGTTGACGTTGAGCACAGCGGCGACGACGGCATCGGTAGCGGCAGCAGTAGCAACGGCCACTGTGTAGACCAGATGTGCGGCGTCCACGACGGTAGTGGTAGCGGTGGCGCAGCGGACGGAGATGAGTGCCCACGGCAGCGGTCGCGGACGGCGACAACATAAAAGTTGTACTGCACCATGCAGCCGACCCATCCATGCAGCCGACCCATCCATGCAGCCGACCCATCCATGCAGCCGACCCATCCATGCAGCCGACCGTACCCTGCCGCTACCTGACAGCACCGTCCCGGCCCCTTCTTTCTGTACCACTTGTGTCGTTTTTTTGTTTTTATCATCTTTCTCATCTGGCGTTGTCCCCCTTGCAGAGAAGGCAACGAGCACGACGGCAGACGCGCCGACACCAGGAGCAAACGTAGCAAGGAAGGACTCGGAGGATGACGAACCACCAGCCAGACCACCACGACCCCCTAAACCACAGAACGGAAATGATCAAGGAGCACCGGGACAGGGAGCAGCAGGATCGGGGGGCCCAGGACCCGTACCGCAACCCCCACCACCGGCACCACCAGCATCCATCTCTCCCCAGGCAGAACCACCATCATCATCGCCGAAGGCAACAGAGGACCTCGCAAGCACACAATCAGGTAAGACCACAGTAGTAATTGCAGAAAGCACCAGTGTTCAACAGGAATCTCCCAGGAGCGCGAACGAATGTGAGAAATTGGGGAATGACCATACCAAAATTGGTGAATGCCTTGAAAAAGTAATGAACACGGCAGTACCAAATGTTAGCACTCCTACGGACGAACCCGGTCACGGTACTTGGGTTGTCCCAGGTGCTACTAGCACAACAGAAGTAACTACAATAACCACACATACGTCTCCACCCACTATCAATGTCCCTGAGGGAACACCTGCAGGTACTGATAATGGGCACGACAAAGTACACAGTATTACTGAGGGTCCCTCCTTGTAGGCACAGAGGAACCTCTATTCACGCAACAGCAGTCCTGAGCACTCCGACGCCGCGAGAGAGGGGAAAAAAACACACAAACAACACACACCTCTTGCGGAGAGAGACAGGGAGCGCAAAACCAACGTCGAATGAGAATGCAAGCGGCCGAGCGACGGGTCGGTCGCGGGAGGTAACGAGGCGTAGACAAGTAGACGGGTAGCTACGTAGACGTCGAAAGATGTCGACACAGACCGACACACACACTGTGTGTGTTGTGTGGGAGAGAGAGAGAGTCTTTTCCCGTGGTGGCACCTTGCTCCGTGCGCTGCACCGGCCGCGGTCTCCCGTCCGTCTCCTGCCCCGTGGCACCCATGCTGTCAACCGTGTAGCCGACCGACCGTGGTCCACCGTGTGGTCGAACAATGCAGCGACGGACAGCGGGCAAGCGGCAAACGTGGACAATCTCGCACTTCAAAACTTCAGTTTCATCATACTTCTTCCTTCCCTTTCCCTGTCTCCCCATTCACCAAATGTTCAGGCGATGCCGTCGCCGATGGCACCAACGATGACCCCCCTGCTCTCAATCCACCCAAACCACCACCCAACCCGAACCCAAATCAATCGGGGAGCAGCCCCAGCGGCCCCGGCGGCGGCACTGGTCCTGGTGGAGGTGGTGTTTCTGGTGGGGAAGCAACGGGCGGTGCGGGTGATGAACAGGATGCTGGCGGCGCCGGCAGCGGAAGTGCAGGAGCAGGAGGTAGTAGTGGTGGTGGCGGAGGAGGAGGCGCTGGAGTTGGTGTTTCTGCTGGGGGGGGACAGGGCGGTGGCCATGGGAAGACCAAGAGTGAGGCCACTGGCGGCTTCGACTTAGATAACATAATTCCACGCCTGACAGCGAAGGCCTTAGGGGGGGGCTTTGTACCACCAACCTTACCAGAAAATAAATCCAGTTCATCCAATACAGACCAAGGTGGGCCGCATAACGGCCCCTTCTTTCCCGATCTAACCGCCGACGTCCTTACCGCCACTACTCCCGTACTCTTCTTCCTGTCCGCCGTCACCGTCGCACTTCTGGGTTATTCCCTCTGGAAGGTAAGCACAGCCACAACGCACACAAGCACGCACAAATATAACCGAGTGGCAATGCGCATCCCTCATATGTACCATAGCAGTGTGTTTCTACGTAGCTCCCTTGCATGATGATGCCAACAAATGCACTCTTCTACATCGCTCTTTTTCTTTTTTTTTGTTGTAGTACTTTGCCTACCTCGCCAAACGACGACGAACGTATCGAACCGTTCGTGACGTGCCATCACCTCCACTCGACGAAGAAATTCTAGACCATCTACAACGCGGCGACCTACCGCCACCCGATTACGGGTACACCTTGGTTAGGGATAGGCAACCTGCGTCAACACCCGCACGCCGCGGACAACGCCCACCACGCGTGAATCGCCGCACGATCATCGAGCTACATCTAGAAGTGCTCCACGAATGTGAAGCAGCCGAATGGGAAAACGTCAAAGACGACTATTTGCAGATTGTCTTGGAGGAGTTTGCGCGTGACTTGGAGCGGGACCCGATTATGTGCAGTAGAATCTTGGATGTTCCGACCTCGCACGCCTCTTTAGC